CTCAGTAAAAACATAAAATGAAGCCTAACAAGATTAATGATAGAAAATATTTACAGCTTGTTTTTTAAAAGTTTACTATATTAAGTAGGAGTAAATTATAAACAAGAAAATAACAAGCGTACTATTTTTTAAGCAGGAAAATATAGTCAGAGCCAAACTGTTGGTTTGAACACGTTTAAGTTATTCCATATGTTTGTACTTCTTTCTCAACTTTTATAAATAATTCAAGTTACAAAACTTATACTGGCATGATGCAGCTTTGACAGGTGTTATACTTGTATCCAGCAAATTGATATACAGATGCTCTAGTAAAAGGTAAGTTGCGACCCATTATAAGTTATTTTCATATATATTGGTCGCTGATAAAATAGTCGTTAAATTTATATCACTTGTTTTTAAGGTTGTTTGCACGGGCTCAATTTTGAGGTTTTCAATTAGAACTCCTGTTGTTTTTAAGATGGTTTGCACGGATTCAGTATTGAGCTTCTCAATAAGAACTCCACTTGTTTTTAAGGTGGTTTGCACGGGCTTAGTATTGAGATTCTCAATAAGAACTCCACTTGTTTTTAAGGTGGTTTGCGCGGGTTCAGTATTGAGACTCTCAATAAGAACTCCACTTGTCTTTAAGGTGGTTTGCGCGGGTTCAGTATTGAGACTCTCAATAAGAATTCCACTTGTTTTTAAGGTGGTTTGCGCGGGCTCAGTATTGAGATTCTCAATAAGAACTCCATTTGTTTTTAAGGCAGTATGCACGGGCTCAGTATTGAGATTCTCAATTAGAACTCCACTTGTTTTCCCATGAACAATTATAAACGCACCGTAACACTGGATTCTTCAGTGCTCTTTCTTACAGTAAAGATTCAGCATTCGTCCATTTTTCACACCTAACACACTAACGTCTATTTGGTTCTAATATCTCTGATATATACAACTCTAATCCTTTCCTTTTCACTGTTTGGTAATAAACAACAGCTGTGTAATTAAGAAAAGATTGGAGTTTTTCGTACATATTCAACTTGAAGTGGAACTATGTTGAATAAATATATACAGCGAGAGATCCCATAACATCAACATTCAAATTTGGTTAAAGTTGACTATGATCTAAAACAATCAATTTTTTATATTTTGATATTTTTGTACAATAACTAAGTTGAAACAAAAGAATGGTTGTTAAACTTTTCCTCTCAGTTTCATGTAAGGATCAAAAACATTTTAGTTGTCTTCAACATCGTTAGGAAACAGAAAACAGAATAAGTTCAATAAATATATAAAAGAGAAAATCAGCTGTATGAACATATCGTTACTAAACATTAACTAAGTCTAAAAGCGTTTTTTTTATCGAACCAATGAAACGCAAAATCTTATTCAGACGTTGAAAACTAATCAATTCTCCATTTCTATTTAAAAAAAAAAAAGACTTGTTTCGTTTGTTTGTTTTGAATTTCGCAAAAAGCTGCTCGAGAGCTATCTGTATACATAATTTTGAAGTGATAGACTAGAGGGAATGCAGCTGGAGAATAACACACAGAGAAAACCCTATAATAACGTTCTCTGTACAATAGCCTATCATGACAGATAAGACCATACAATAGCATGGAATAATATTAAAATTATGAGATATGGACCATAAACATAACCCATCCTACCAGTGGCTCAGTGATAAATCTGAAGATTTATAACACTAAAACCGGGATTCGATACCCGGGGTGAGTACAGCACAGACAAATCATTGTGTGGTTTTGTGATTAACTACAAACAAACAAAACCACAAGCACAAGAAAAGAAAGATAAAATAAGGCTTCTACATTCACCTAATTGATAACACATTCACTAAATATACCACAAATCTGAAAAATGAGGAATAATCCTATTTAAAGCATTCAAATAAGTTAGTTGATAAAAGTCCTAAAATGGAAAACTCCAGGCGGGAGGATAACACCATAGTCTTTTGATCAAAAACCCCAGGCTCTAATCCTGTCCTTTACCATCACAAAAATAGTTATTCTTTGGACCTCTCAGACTAGTAACCAAAATGTAAGATAGAAGAAGTTAGTAATTAATAAAAAATAGATAATTTATAATTAGGCTACTAACCATTGAATATAGTTAAGTTTTTCATCTCAACAAAATACAGGCCATCAACGAGATGTCTTACTAATGAGTATTCTGTTATCTAAAAAAAAAAAAGATTACATCTTATATACAGGCCCCCAGGGACAAAGCGCCATGCCTGCGGACTTAAAGCGCTAGAAATCAGGTTTCGATACCCGTCGTGAGCAGAGCACAGATAGCTCATCGTGTAGTTTTGGGCTTAACTTCAACTATACAAATAAACCCATATACAGAAGTGAAGGAATTCCTACTCCGCAAGGAAATATTTCCGTAAATATACGTAGGGCGAAGCTGACATTGCGTTGCTGTTCATTAAACAGATCAGGTCTAAGATATTCTTATTGTACACTATCCTAATAAGAATTTACACACAATTGTCAAGTATTCTTCAAATCAAGCAGGAGAATAAATTATTGTACATTTTGAAGATCAAAATGGGTATATTATTGATATGTGTTGTCCAGATCAAGACCAAATTGATGCGGGTGGTGGTGCAGAAGTACTTTTTCCAGGACAAGATTTGGCAAGACAAACATAAGATCTCCAGATGCGGGTTGTGGTGTAGAAGTACTTTTTCCAGGACAAGATGTGTCAAGACAAACATAAGATCTCCAGATGCGGGTTGTGGTGCAGAAGTACTGTTTCCAGGACAAGATGTGGCAAGACAAACATAAGATCTTCAAATGCGGGTTGTGGTGCAGAAGTACTTTTTCCAGGACAAGATTTGGTAAGACAAACATAAGATCTCCAGATGCGGGTTGTGGTGTAGAAGTAATTTTTTCCAGGACAAGATGTGGCAAGACAAACATAAGATCTCCAGATGCGGGTTGTGGTGTAGAAGTACTGCTTCCAGGACAAGATGCAACGAAACTAACGTAAGATTTCTAAATGTAGGTTGGGGTATGGATGGGCATAGTATAAAACTCGGAGGGATAATGATATACATGTTATACAACATGGATATTTTACTTTATGTTGTACGTATGTTTGATTTTTAGTTCAAGATCGTTTTAATGTACAGTAGAATAAATGTGGTTCAACGATTTTGTATGGGGTGCGACGGATTACATTACAGTTCCATGAAGAACAGTATTAACAAATGATCCACGAAAACAAATCTTCATATTTAGGCCGAACATAATTCGGGTTGACTTTTGTTACCTTGATTTAATAGCGTTCAGATTCCCCATAAGCAAGCATTTCATCATGCAACCACACGTTCTGTAACATGTACATTTTTGGAGAATGACGAAACTGAGTTTCAGTTTCGCTCGTGGCTCAAGGTAACCCTGGAAGCTGTGTGTGTTGAAACACAATATTCTTAAATGTAACATCAGTTTGCCGATATTGTTAGAATTACGTCACGATATTATGTCTGAGTAGTGAAGTGCGCTCCTTGAACGCGTGTTTGCCCTTTATATCTACGCTTTTACGTCTCATAAGTAACAAATAAAATTACTTTGTCCCAATAGGAAAACATGTTTCCTGTAAATTCGTTTTTTGTTTAGTTGTTGTTGTTTTTTTTTCATTTGGAAGTGACACCACTTTCCCACAGCCCTACAATGGAAATTAGAAACGGAAGTCGCTCCCATCTCTTTAAACAACAATTAGAAACGGAAGCCACCCCCATCTCCCTGAACAACCATGGAAAGAGTTCACTCGAGGAACTTCGAAGTAACAAACGGTATTTTCATTTGGGCATATACAATCAGGGAGTGAGTGCTTCATGTTGTCTTTTCAATATCAAATAGTTGCCATTGATTTATGCTGCTAAAATAGAAACATTATATATATATATATATATATATCTATGAACGACACAGTTTACTTACCCAAATTCGAAGAATTCGTAGAAGTCGAATTTTTAAAATATTTGTATTCGTGGTATATTATGCTATTAATTAGTATGAAATATCACAATCGTAATTACATCATATTAACATATTGATATTAATATATTTCAAACGTATTTATATGTTTGTATTTATCACTTCTTTCAGATTAGATGAATACTCAACTGTTTTGTCTTGATTGTACATAAGAGTTTACAATGTTTGATATCCATTAAGAATTCTCTCGTTTACGCTGTAAACTCCGTTCTTCTGTTAACAACAGGAACGTGAGGTAATTTTACAATATGTGCTGTAATCACACGGTGTGGTTTATTGCATATACACAAGAGAGTTTCAGTACTATTTACATAACACATTAACTTCTTTGTAACAATTACAGAATGTAAATTCTACTAATACTGCTTCATCAGATTTTGCTGATATATTTGTACCAACACAGGCTTCACATGTGTATCAAGAAAGAATTAAGTAAAACTTCTAGTAATAACAGCTTTATCATAATTACTTACGTACTTAGAAGTCACACAACAGCAATTATATAAGTTTATGTCATAACGTTTTAATTATCCAAGGTAAAAGTGAATTTTAATGATTATTATAGTAAGTAAACAATGTGTTTTTTCTGAGGAATAGGTAGTTTCAAACTTTCTACCCAGTCATACTTTATAATGCCTTTTAAATCACCGGGTGAAATGCATACATGTGGTTTAGAAAACAAGAATTCCTGTAATGACATTTATCAAGCTCTATGGCTTAAGAACGATATGTTTATCACATAACCAAGTAACACAAATAGGTATGTAAACTATACGCAATAATTTCACCATGATTTCCATGGTTCCACCTCTGTGATATCAGTCTTAGTTACAAACATAATATTCACCAGTTTCTAAGAGTTTATTTCAGCATGAAACTTGGTGCAAATAATCGTCCTGTCGAGTTAAAAAATTACATATATATTTCAATCCTTTAAAAGTATGTCACGAGTATTATTCGTTGATGACGTATGCGAGTTTTAAAACAATAAACACTCACCACTTTCCACTAACATGGCCGTGCTGATCATGCAGGAGATAACATTAAGATATAATCTGTGCATACTTGCTGGATGTATTGACTGGGCCCACCACGTGGTTTCTCTGGCCATTTCACGGCGAAAGTCTATAAGAAGCGGTACAAGACAGTATTTGATATTCTTTTTCAGGAAAAACTCCTACATACATACAGAAACTGTATATAAATATATATTTATTTACAAACTATCAATGAGAGGAAGATCCTGTCTACTATGGATGACAATCAGAAAATCTGCATAATCTAATCATGCCGAATGGTGCTACAAGTCGGTTCTGGCACAGCGGAATACCCCAAGAAGGGACCAGATGGAGACGAGTGCACGTATACGTGCTCCCAACGATACTGACTGAGTTCACCTGGTTCCTTGGAACGATACTATCGCCAGCCCGCCCGCATACTTCTGCACTGTGAAGCGCTTTTCTTGAACCAGTACCGCCTGCTCTTGTCATTCAACCGCTGCGTATATGGGTGGGTCCATTAAAAGGGAAGTCATTATATGATATAACTTCTGGTCAAAACAAGCTTACTAAATAGATCAGAACTAAAAAATATCTTAGCGAAGTGAATAATGCAACTCATTTTAGTCTAACTACGATTGTGGATAAACAAAAACTTATAATGATTAGAACGCCTTAATTTATCAGTTAGGTACTTTCCTTTTAGCGATATTTTCGGACGTAATCCTATTAATGTCTCAAATGGTATATACATACACATATGTTAAACAATATAGCCAAAGCTGTTTGTGAAAATAACTTTAAAGAAAGAAAGGTGTACTGTGGTGTCTTCTCTTTATAGAGATTGAAGTGTAGCATATCTCAGGAAATTATTAGAGTGTACTTCTTTGAAAACTATCATATATATGTAACCGCTAGAGCATTCCAACTGTGACATTAATATTAAGCTAAATCTAATAAACAGCATTAACATTTAGAGGATTCTCGGTCATACAGAACTGCAAAATGTTTTAAAGAACGCTTTTCCAGAATTACGGTGATAACTTTAATGCTCGATAGGTGGACACAATGATAATATACAATGGAGTTAAAATAGAGCTTTGGGATGGGAAGCACGGACAAGGAAAACATGAAAAATTGTGATGACTGAGAGATAGCAGGCTAAAAAAACAATAAGAAAATCACTGCGTAATTTCACCTGTTTTAAAGAGTAGGTTGCAGCCTTAACAAGTCCCGTTCGTCGTCAACGTCAAATACGGATATTAGAAACTCGTTCAGGTGACGTAAGGTTTAAAGGGGTGCCGCACAGAACACCCACAGACTTCTTTCCTCACTCTATGTCTCACTATTCTTCTTCTCTACAAGGTATAGTTACAGAATGCGACGTCACTGTAATCTCCTTTACCCTAAAAACTAGGTTAACGGGTTGTTGATAGCTCGAAATATCCGATCAAAACCTGAAGTGATAAATACGTGCACATGTATATCTAACATACTCATACAATATCATAAAATCATTTGCTTCACTAACTTCTCTTCAGTTAATCCGTAAACTGTCATAATTATATAACATATTAAGTATAAGAGAATTTAACGTATCCATCATTCAAAATGTGAAAAAGAAAAACATGTTTTATAATACTGCTCAAGATCCACCAGTTGCTGTGATAAGCAAATACTGCTCAAGATCCACCAGTTGCTGTGATAAGCAAATACTGCTCAAGAATCACCAGTTGCTGTGATAAGCAAATACTGCTCAAGATCCACCAGTTGCTGTGATAAGCAAATACTGCTCAAGATTCACCAGTTGCTGTGATAAGCAAATACTGCTCAAGATCCACCAGTTGCTGTGATAAGCAAATACTGCTCAAGATCCACCAGTTGCTGTGATAAGCATAAAGTATAAAGACAAAAAATAATTCTTCATTTTGAAGAAAAAATATTTTATAGATTCTCAGAAACTGTTAAACGCTATTATGATAATGTAGGTCTGTCATGGTCTGGTGGTTAGGGCACTTGCCTCGCAGTCTGAGGGTCACGTGCTCGAATTCCGTCCCCAAACACATTGTCCCTTTCAGCATAAAAATTCGCTAATAAAGAATAGCCCAAGAGTTGGCGGTGGGTGATATTTACTAGCTGCCTTTCCTCTAGTTTATCACTTTAAAAGTAGGGACGACTAGCGCAGAAAGCCGTCAAAACAAATTGTCAGTGCACGCCAAGCATTTGAGGATATGTCCAAGTGTGTTTGGATTCGGACATTGTGTGTTTGCTGTGGCCATGGGTCATCATCAAGAGCAGCCTAAGTGACTCTTGGTGGCGATAAATGTTTGAATTTTCTCTTGTACCACATTTATTACATAATGCCAGGGAACTACAATATAACAACTTATGAGTGAAAGTAATAATATACACATGCGTAACTTCACACCAAGTACTGCTACTCGTCCAACACGATCATTGTGATTATTGCTGATTTAGACAGTCTTATTTCGTCCAACACGTTCATTGTGATTACTGTTGACTTAGACAGTCTTATTTTGTCCAACACGTTCATTGTGAGTACTGCTGATTTAGACAGTCTTATTTTGTCCAACACGTTCATTGTGAGTACTGCTGACTTAGACAATCTTATTTTGTCCAACACGTTCATTGTGATTACTGCTGACTTAGACAGTCTTATTTTGTCCAACACGTCCATTGTGATTACTGCTGACTTAGACAGTCTTATTTTGTCCAACACGTCCATTGTGATTACTGCTGATTTAGACAGTCTTATTTTGTCCAACACGTCCATTGTGATTACTGCTGATTTAGACAGTCTTATTTTGTCCAACACGTCCATTGTGATTACTGCTGATTTAGACAGTCTTATTTTGTCCAACACGTTCATTGTGATTACTG